TACCATTTTCATGCAAATCTAAGAATAACAGTATTCTACAACAAAAAAATTCCTCCAAAATACACTTATTCAAATTAAGCAAATTCACTTAATGTCCAAATATACGAATTATGTGTTGGTAGTAAAATAAATATACATATATACACTGCATATTTCTCGTTAATAATGTTATGGTCTTATGACGCAGTAATACATTTTTTACTAAATACGAGTAGTTTTAACTAAATAATTCTAACGTTATTTTGTACGAATGAAGTTTATTTAACAGATCCCTAGCTTCTAAGTCGAAAGGACACGAAGCCAAAACCCATATTTACACAGGTGTTAGTGCGTATGAACTAGCAGTAATAACATAATACAATAATAATAAACCCAAAGTAGAGTAAGCTAGTGTTGTACAAACCAGTCTGGGAGTATTTTCTATTTAAGCGCAATATTAAGGTCATAACTCTCATGTCAGCTTACTTTGACGTTAATTATATTATCTATTACATATTTGTTTCTTTAGTTACGACGGCGATGGTTTTTAGTTTGTGGCACATCACTAATACATTCAAGCTACTTTTTTTGCTATAATACTATTTAGTAGTTCTTATCTAACCTAACCTAGGTAGGAGTGGTAGGTCTTTACCACTATAAAAAAGCTGAATACTGGTATTTTTTGTGTTGTTTTTTTTTTACAAATGTAATGTAAATATGGTTTAAATTTTCTTAGCTTCTTTTAATAAAATCCAAGCAATAATTACGTATGTATTTACATACTCGTAAGTAATGAAAATAAGCGTGTACCGAATGCTGAGACGTCTTAAACTGTTGCATTATTTTATTTTTGAAGTTATACTTCTTTTGGGGCGTTTGGGAAAAGTGATGAGAGTGAATTTTTACGATCCGCGCGCACACCGACACCTAAAAACGACACCATGAAGTGCGCGCGCACACTGACACCTCAAAGTGGCAACTTCAGTGGGTAATTGTCTCTCAAGTTTGTTTTGTTTTGTTACGCTAAAGAAGTATAATTTCCTACGTGCGTACATAAGTACACACGCACTTTTTTTATTCACGCATAGAACTTATATTTATTGTTATAATAATGGTTTATTTCATCATAATTTAAAAAAAAACACTAAGCTTTGTGCAAGATATAGTATTCAAAAAGTAACGTTAAAGTTTGTATAACCTATGTCCCACTCTTAGGCACAGGTCTTCTTTCATTTCTGAGAGGGTTTATGGGCAAGGAAATGTCCGCAATTTGCGAGTGTCAATATATTATGTTTTGTACAAAAATATCCCAGAAACCATAAACGAAATCGTATTAGTGTTTGTGTTATTGTGTTTTTAGTGTCACTTAAAATTGCAAACATTTCAGTAACAATCAAACACTACAGCAACAAGGAAAACATGATTGTTATATTATTAACTTTAGTGATATGAGTCATACGCGGTCACGGTCCGGAATAGAATGGAGACACTTAAAATTGTGTAGGGTGACTATCCTAAGAAGTTTACTAATTTTATTATGGTATAATATAATTAACTTTATAAGAAGTATCTTATTCATTTCACGGATAGTACGATTATTAAAAAATGGCACACGTTTTGTATAAAAATGTAATTTTTAGTACATATATAAGTTTTTGAATATGGTTACCCTAATCTCTGTCAAATCGAAACATACTGTACGAAAATAAGCAACACCGATACGTGTATATTACACCAACAAATCGAAACATTAATTTATCTGAGGGTCATTGAAGTCAAATCAACCATCTCAATATTATTTTTACAACGTATAAATGTCAGTTACTTATGTTACACTACGCAATAAAAAGTAAAAAAGGTGATGGGATACTACATGAGTAATAGTGATGGAACATATTAAGACTGTGTAAATAGTGTTTATAAGTCGCGGCAATGCCCGTATAATTTTGTCAGCATAACTATTCGATTGACTAAAACAATTTTCTTTGTCACATCAATGTACTGTATCCAAGGAGTTATATATTATTATTTATGATTCGCCTATTTATATTGTATTGATCCAATTGCATTTCAGCACGTCTTATCAGTATTAATATTAATAGTTACTTTACAGCATCCGTGATGCAGGAATTTTTTCAATAGTAATTTAAAGTAGTTTAACCGAAGTAAATTTAGATAAAAATAAAAAGTATAAAAAGATAAGGTTATTAATAATTTTTTTCCGACAATGACACTTTCGAAATAATAGAACGTGCAGATGAAAAAAACTAAACAGGCCAGTTTTCAAAAGAATCTATTTCTCGATCGCGAGCCATTTTTATTCGCCCACTTGTAAAGGTTAGATGTCAGACAATTTGACAGGTAATTAAATAAAGATATTCGAGTGCATTGTAAGCCAGCATTATTATTATTTATTACCTAGCGACGTCAAGAATCGTCCTCGTTTCCTATCCAAGGGCGTTGCATGACACGTAATAAATGAATTTAGCGTCTTCTGACCTTTTTTCGTTTTGTAAAATTTTATTGATTGCATGCCTGCTAGTTGTTATTTCACAACAGGTTTTAATTGGTTTTATAGATTAATAATTAAGTGTAATTTTGTATATTATCTTAATTACGCACTGTTTATTAGGAAAATTGAAATTATTATTTGTAACCATAATCTCATCTTTGTAAAAAATAAAAATAAATCTTTATTGATCATCTAAAACTTTACAATGATCTTCAAAAATGGTTGGAATCTTCTTTTCCCGCTCCTCCATAGTCATAATACAGAATACAGATAGTGATCCTCTTTGTGAAATCTTTGTGATTCTAACTTTGTGACAAAATTTTTATATTAATTATATTCTTAAGTTTCCGAATAGAAAGTATTTCGATGATTTATATTTTCTGTGTCTGTTCCGTATGAACGTCTCAATACGAGCTGTCACAACATGTTTAACGTCGTAAAGTATCGGGCAATTCATTACTGTCGCGAACACAATACAACTCAATAGAAATCCATAGCGCACCGACGGAACACAAAGGGACAATCGCATTAAGTGTTATTCCTTGCGTTTTATTATCGTTTCGAAACTTGTAAAACTATTGTAATTTAATTTCCCATTCTTGTACTTTTGAGTGTTTGTGGTAAGCGGGTTGCTTACAGTTCGGTGCTTTATCATTTTTTGTGTAATCCATTAATCTTTTTTTTAACTTTAATATGAAGAGGTTTGATTGTGTTTAATTTTTTAATTGATATATTACGACAAATGCCAATTTTAAAGCATTTTTATTATTTGAAGTTGATATTGGGATAAATAATATTATGGCTATTAGAAACATATAACTTCCTGGTAAGAGATGCAGACAGAAGATGGATACAGGTGCCTCAGGACCGTGCTTTGTAACATTGCTACCCTACACACTACACGTTTTGTATGATGATCCATTGCCACTCGACATGATAAATTTACTGAATTCAATCTGCTGTCATACACTAAGAAAGAAATAATGCATGAAAAATGTTGCCTGTTTGTGCATGCAACGCGATTACGGCACGGTACGGGCGAGTTAATCCTTAAAAAATTCGATGCAAATTTCTCGCATAAATAAATAATGCATGCGCCTCCTCCGCACGTAGATTATCTGTAAACGATAAGCGCAGTTAGACAAAGATGGATGGCGAAACGAGATTTGTTGACACCTCGGCGTGATAAAATTTTTAATAAGTCATATACTTGTATGCATTATTTATATTTGCCAGTTCGTTATTAATTGGATATCAAAGCAGCTGCTGTATATTCACGAAATCTAGACTTAACATGTTTTTGATGTTTATCTGTGGACCATAAAGTGGCAAATACGTGCCCATTAATCATTTTAAAATTAATTTATTTAGAAATAATAACACTGTGCTTAAAATTTAAATAGGGTACCTACATAACTGATTATTATAATAATCCATGCTGGCAATATGTAATATTATTTAGTTTGAAATATGTAATAATTATGTAAATTTGACATGATTTTTTTTTACTTCTCATCTTATTGTTGAGATGTTTTTTTTACCTCTACTGGCTTCATAACAGTGCTTGACTATAATCCTTACAGATGGTAAGAGGTAACGAAGCAAAGATTTACTGTCTCCGCAAAGCCTTTTGACTCTTCTTGAAGACATCTACTTTGGTAACGAATTTCGCCACACTTTTCAATGTAGATTTTCTTTTCCACTGAGCATTTTTAGGATCCCGTACCCGAAGGGTAACCAACGGGACCCTATTATTAATAAGCCTCCGCTGTCCGTCCGTCCGTCTGTCTGTCAGCGGGCTGTATCTCATGATACGTAATAGGTAGATAGTTGAAATTTTCACAGAATGTGCATTTCTGTTGCCGCCATAACAACAAATAATAATAATAATAATAATAATAGATTAAAAATTAAAGGAGGCTACCCTTCAAGCGCGAGTCCGTCTCACATTTGGCCGGTTATTTAAACAACATGTAAAATTGCAAGTAACAATTCCAGGCAGGCCACTGAATAACTCTACCGTTTATGATAATATATTTTCCAAATATAAGCATATTTCGAATAAAACGATAAATTTTAATATTAAAATTATTATAACTATAATTCTCAATCTAAGAGATAACGAACTTTTGTAATTTTTAAATGTCAGCTGTCAAGTATTGGAATTTGCAACTATATTATTTTTTGTCTGTGTTCGCAGTAAAACTTCCGTATTACTGTCGGGTCAGGTGTCAACTTTATTAATGTTTGGTAGCCATATGCCTGAATATAAAAAATTAATATAAGATAGGTATAAGATTTAATAATGATATTATTTATAGGAGTGTATTATTTTTCATCTTATAATAAATTATACGAATTTTATAAAGGAAAGCTTAAAATCGACCTTTTTCAATTATTTAAAATAAATAGCTTTAAATAATAATAATTTTGGCGTAATTCTTGTTACATAATAAAAAAAAAGAATAATACATTAATTTTGCTTAATTTTGTTTCAGGTGTATATATGATGGCAACTCTTTCGATGATTAAAACAAGGTAAATAATTATGTTATTAATTACACTGAAAATATTAAAAGTCAAAACTATAAAGTGTCGTCAAATAACGTGATTACCATAATAAGGACTCTATATTCATCACGTCTTCGACCCGCGAGCGCAGCCGAATGGTATTCTCCACGTAAATACTCCGTACGGAGCGAGATCGAACCCCGTGGCGTGGCGTGGGCCTTATCGAAGCTACGTATTACGCTCAGTGAATATCGTAGTCAAATAAAGGCCGATATCAACACTGATCCCTAAACGGTCGCGGTTTAGACATTGTGTCTTCAACGTATTACCGACGGGACCTATAATTTTATTAAAATTAAAAAAAACGCAATTAAAAATAAAAGCAAAAACAAATATAATTTTTTTGCTTTTATTTTTAACAATCGCTAATTTTGACTATTTTTAACAATGTTTAATTTGGTAGAATCATTTGTTTGTCAGCCCCTTAAATTATAACAAAATAGCGAGCAACTGCATCAATGTTTTTTATTTTCATTTTAAATCTTAATTACTTTTTAATAAAGAGGTTTTATCTATTTATATATTTTATAATTATTAGGTTGTTTCGAGGAATTAATGCTAAATAACATATTAATAATATAACCATTTTAACGCCAGAGGTAAAATATCCGCCGGGGGTAAATACAGTATCAATGGTGTCATGGTGTCCTGCCATGCAAATCCTGCCTAACGGGAGCGATCCATACTTAGCAGTAGATTTTTAAAAGCTGATGTAAAAGTACAATATTTAATCTAAACTTTTTATTTTGAATATTATTGATAAACAAGAGCAGTTGATAATCACATTGTTTCGCGAAATATGTTATCAGGTAAAATCTATAACCTTTCGAAATACAGAATGACAAATGTTCCATGTAATAAGCGTGGATACTTCAAGGAGAAAGTTCTCGATAAACAAGTTGATCGATGACAAGGATAATACGTGATGTAACAACCGTCCTCCAAATTATCGGTTGTCTTGATTAGATAACTACCTCGTCGAATTTCCTTTTTTTACTTTTAGGATTTCAACATTCGAGCGTTTTATTCGTTTTTCAGAGTTTATTGTATTTATTTTCAACCAGCTCTATTTTCTTTTTTAGTTTAAATAAGGCGTTGCAATGTTAAATTTAATTGGAGTTAAATCTTCCTAAGGAGTAGGTTACTTTTTTTGGTTTTTGTATTAAAATATTGTATATTTTCATATTTTATAATCGAGAATAGAAATATGACCAACAATAAGCGACCGTAATAATTCATTTCTTAATGTAATGATTCACCCATTATCCTCCTTTCCTTGTACATACAATACAGCCGGTCCTAACACCCCGAACCCTTTACCGCCATACGGTGTCTTTTAAAACCCCCGACTTTCACATCCTTCCTGTTTTAAATGTATTCATAACGCAACAAAAAAATTAATGCGTATCATTTGACGGTTTCTAGACAAAAGATCGATGTCTATTACAGGGATAAAAGGATTTTTTTTCTAACTTCGAAAGTAGATCATACTTTCGTAACCGATACTTTCTAATGCTTTGGAAATATTTTTATATCTTTATAGTGGACTGAATATTTTATCCGTCTTATAAATTTTACTCAAATTGCGTGCTTGGCGGGCGGGTTAGCAACCGCAGTTTTTATAGTTATTAAGAAGACGCTGCTGCATCCATCTTCTGGTTTCCCCCTGTCATCTGTAATGACATCTACCGGCATAATATTGGGTAGTGAATATAGTAACACTGCCAATACACGGTAAACGAAAAGAATACCAGCTTGAAACCGCTGAATAATCCTGTTGTGTTTCTGCTATTGAGTAGCGAATTAGGTCTCAGAGGTAACAACATATAAAAATTTTGATTTCTTGAAAACGTAGATATGAGTAGCACACAATATTCATTTACTATCAGGTGGTCTATGTGCTCGTTTGTTACCCTTACTTCTAAAAAAAAATCTTATACATCAAATCAAAATTTAATCTGTATAATATATTTGCGTAGCAATCAATACTTTAATGATACATTGGTTATGTTTTATTGGGTTTACGCACTTCTCATGTACTTAATGTATCACAGTTTATAATTAGTTGATAACGTTTATAAATACTTAACAATCATTGCACTATTATTAGATAATATGTGTAAAGTAAAGTGTGAAAGTGTTACTTTACTTTTAGTAGTTAATGATGGCAATTATATTAACTTTAATTAGAATTTTCGCCAATATATATTCCCTTTAGCTTTATAGGCTGGTGTCATGGGATAAAATCTATTCGAACGAAAACACTAGACTTCGTAGCCTTTGTTGAATTTACAAACATTCTAAAACTGTCCATTTGCTTATAACGCTTATTAGCGTTTCTTTATTATCAATATTTATACGCGTAAAATTTTATATGTTGTAGACCCATTCTGTAAATGTGAGTATAGAGAACCGGAGGCCATTTTTACTAAAAACCAGGCATTACATCTTTGTCCTCAGTGTTGAGAACACATCTACATTTTAATATTTAATTGAGGATAGATGTAGATGTGTACGGGTTCACAGTATTCACTAACCATCATATGGACTTTGTGCTCGTAACCCTTTATTCTATAAAAAAAAAAGAAATAGTGGCAAACACATATTAATGTTGAGTAACATATACCTAGTGTTATTTTTAAATCGTTATGCAACTGTATTTTTATCGTTTTACATCAATGATTAAATTACTGAAGCTTCCGTTCGCCTAAATTTTCTAGTACACCAAGCAGTCATATAAAACCACGACAACAAAGTGCGGCATTGTTGTGATGTCCCTTATCTCCGATACAATGCCAAGCTACCGTGATATAAACGAAGCTCAAACTCTTTGAATAAGGCATCCCATTGTCAATATTATAAATATTATGCTAATGCGATAATGGAGATTTTTGACTCCGGGCCTAAACGGCCAGGTGTCGCTTTGAAAGGGTTAATTCATGAGATTCAAATGTCTTGCAACCCTATTTTGAATGCGATCATTTATTAAGATTTGTTCCATTGTTTAGTCTCTTATTCCCATAGACGTGTACGCATCGTTAGTAATTTATGTGAGAAGACTAGTGATGGTATATGTTTTTAAAATTCTATTGCGTTCACGGCTTTTAGGACGTGAATGTTATTCGAAGACGTTTGGTCGTAAATTTTTGGTTTATCTTAGTTTATTACCTTTACGAATTTTCGTGGTTTTATTTTTATAATATAACGTTAAGATCAGTTTCGAGTAAAACGGCGTTTATGTAAATCCCAAACCGTTAAAATTATTACATAAAAACCTAAATAGTCTTTCGAATTGTTTTTACAGCTTTAGAAGCTATTGCTTATGTCATGTAGGCGTTATAGTTATTATTGTAATCATAATTATTTTTTCTCTTAGAAGACTTACACGTCTCTTCCTTCAGATGGCGAATACCTAACCAATTCAGTAATAACGTACATTTGAAGTTATTAGGTTATTTACTAAAGTTAAATGCAATATAAAATGTCTTAGAAATTTTTTATCAAATGAAACATCAGCACCAAAATATATGGCGGTAACCAACAAAACTTTTTATTTTATATATCGTTTTCTGTACGTTATTTGTACTGTGAAGTATCAATTACTTCACTACCCCAAAATATCATCCCGTGGGTGTAAGAGTCAACAGAGGGCAATGAAACAAGGGCAGCCAGCAGCAGCATCTTCCTGGTAACCACTCGGAACAATACAAACGTTTGCCAACCCGCTTGCCAAGCATGGCAACTACGGCAAGTATCCTCTCTTTGGGGAAATTTATCGGGATTCTACGTTCAGCAGTGGACTTTTGATAGGCTATTATGAATTTAAAAGTAGATATTTTTTTTATTAATAAAAATGTTATAGGTAAAGTTGTAGAACATCCCTATTCCTTTTGCGGTAGTACCTGAATCGCTCTGTCTGCCTTTTTGCACTGAATTGCTGTATTTAATTCTTACATTTAAATCAATCAACTTTTACGACACAAGTCAATTAAAATTTTTTGTTGGTAAGAATGAGAATGATGCTTATAGTTATGAATAGAATATCTCTCTTATGTTTTATAGCAACATAGTTTCGTCTAATATATCTGTGATGTTAATTTCATTAATTAATAATCGATTTGGAATAATAATGAGAACTTGATATGAAACAGAGTTTAAATAATGTATTACGTATTTATAAATGAGTTAATTTTATAAGTGCTTGTTCATAGAGTGACATTTTATTTTGTCGCTTATTTTGCGATAAGAATGGCAGCCGCTTCCGCTGCGTGACTGACGTATTTAAAACATGAAATTATATAATTCTACCGTTGACGTTTCGGATTCGAATCTGTATAATTTCGACGTTTTCATGTCGCGTTGCCGCAGTGCCCACTAATTTCAGAACTTCGTGTCTAATCGAGATGTTTATCGAAATAACCTGTTTCAGTGTAATTTTTTTGGTATAATGTCTTCAGAACGTTAATTACGTACCTTTATCATCAAGAAATTTTCCTTTTGCTTCATGTTAAAGAACAATTGTGCCCATCCAGTAATGGGCAGAATTAAGTTCTGTTTGCATCCATTGTGACAAAATTCTGAAACTCCATATGCAGAGAATTTCATCATATTTTTAAATAGCTATTATTTCTTGATTTTTATAATATGATTACGCCAAATTCCATCCTCATCGTCCCGATTGTATACAATCTACCACTGCGTTTCACTAGGAATTTGCTCCCAGGCATAACTACATTATAGAATTTAATGTCCCCAGTGATTTTTTTGGATTGACCTTGAATAACGGGGCCTATTCCTTCCACAAACGCACTTGCAATTTTATAGGCAGTGGCGATTGCTTACCAACGGTTAAGCCGTATGCTCGTCTATCTTCGTGTTTACCTCTTCTATCATAATAAATTATAATTTTGTGTTTAATAACAATTTTCATAAACTGAGCTCTTAAAGCACAATATCATAAGTTAATT